CTCCTTTCTCCCTCCCGCCACCTGCTCTGACGACCTCTCCTTCTCTTCAACACTCTTCCCCTCGGCCAGCCATTCGAGTTCAGAGCAGAGAGAGAGAGAGAGAGAGAGAGAGAGAGAGTTAGGGCAGCAAGGAGGAAATCCTTGGGAGGGAGTTTCTGTGCGAGGAAGGGAACTTACATAGGTGCCTTCAGCATGAGAAGTACGAGCACACATGTTCTTTGATTGGGGATGGAATGGCTATTGTTTTGCGTGGTATTGAGGACAAGCAGGCTGGAGTAGAGTAGTTTAGTATATCTTAGCGTTTGAGAGAGACACCACACACGTTCTTAGATTGGGCATCACTGACGACAAGCGGACTGGAGTAGAGTAGTTTAGTATGGGCTAGTGTTTGCTGTTCGGTGGGAACGGGACTGGCATTGTACATCATTGCTTTAATTGTTGTTAACGACTGATGGAGGCAAGAACGGGGATCAATTCTTCATCACGAGACTTGAATGTTGCCAATATTTTGTGCATGAGAGGTCATCACTTGTTTTGTCTCATTCCTTCGTCATTGAGTAAATGCTGGTCTATGGGAGCATTGACTCGAGTTTTGTGTGCACGGTATCCGTGCATAAACTCAAGCAGTCTTTCCAGCTAGCGCTTGGTGCAAAATGTGGACCCTTTCTTTTTTTTTTTTTTTTTAATGTGACCCGATGGACCATGGATCAGATATTAAACTGATCAGAACAGATGCTACAGTTGATCTTAGCCAAAAGGCCAAAATGTGGACCCTTTCTAGTCTTCTGTGAATTCACCATTTCCTTCGAATGCAATCATCTCTCTCAAATAAGCACGAACATGTGAGTTTCTCATGATTTATGTTTGCTTATTTTGGGCATAGAGGTACTAACTGGCATTTCCATTCTTTGAAAAATGAAATTTAGAATTTTCGTTCTCCTGAATAACGTTTCCGCTGTTTCCTATGCGACCCTTTTAAAGGCGAATTGAAGCGAAAACGTCACCAATGGGAGGCAGCAGCGCAGGAATTCAAAGTGGTCAAGCAGAGCTTTGTGGATGCTGGTGATGGTATTCAGTGTGTGGATTGCAGCTCATGTCAAATGATGGCCACAGTACTGCTTGAGTTGAGGCTTGGTGACCTGATCTGGAGAATGACTGTGCCTAGGTGCCATACACGCGAGTCTTTCTTAAAAACTCAAAATAGCTTCATCTTTGAAGGATATGCAGGTGGCGAGGATGTGTTTCATGAGCTGTCAAACTGCGGTAGTGGTGCCTGGGCGGCCTTAGCACATTATGAGCGGGCAGAGACAATCCTCATACCTGTGTTTCCAGACTTCGAAAAGTGTGATGTTTGCGACAAACAGCTGTTGAACGGTCAAGAACAGACGGCTGAAGGCAGAGATGTTGGTGGACGATGTAACAAAGAACGAGAGGAAAAGTCTGCGGATGCACTCAGCAAGATGGGGACTGAAGCAGTTTGCATCAGTGAAAAAGATACTGCAGTCAAACATGACCGGAGGGTGCACAAGTTGAGAAAAGGGGAAGATGATATTGTTGGAAAGGCAACGTTCAGCAAGGGTGAGCAGCTGACTGAGGCCATCCCGGGTGATAGCGGAAGAAATCAAGCAGAAGAACCCATCGGCAACGCCTCTAGCGGCATCTCAGGATTATGCGAAGCTTCTGTGACTGATAGTAAGGGTGCTGTGAAAGGGCTCAGAGCGGATCAGAAATTGGGTGGCAAAGCAGTCTCTGAAAGGAAGTGTAACCAAAAAGCACGAGTTGTTCCCAGTGATCATGCTGCAAGCACCAGTGGGTGTGATTCAAGGAGCATCACAGCAGGATCAGGAAAGGACCTGGCTGTCCAGGATAAAGTTCCCCGGCAGCGAAGGGCAGTTCGTGATGTGGACGCAAAAACCAAAGGCACGGTCCGGAAGCCTGGAGATTACGTGGTTGCCAAAGCTGAGCTTGCGGAAGCTACAGATGTTGAAGACGCCCGTGATCTTCAAGTGGATGGCAATTGTGCAGTTGCTAATCCAGGAAGGAGGGCAAGGTCGAGAGTCAAATCTTCTTTGGCGAAGTCTAAGAAACATGGAGAGGATTGCCCTGTTCCTGGTATTGATGACACAGAACATCCTTTGCCAGACAATCGGACAGAGCAAACAGGACAGGTGAAGTTGCAATCCATGGAAGTCAGTCTAGCGAAGATTAAAGGTTCCAAGGGAGGTGTTGGAGCCAGTGTAAAGGGGGTTGGGCGGATACCAAAGGCAATGAATAGCATAGCTGTAACAGTTAATCCAGAAATGGATTCTATCAAGAAGGAAACGGGGCGAACCAGGAGAAAGGCAAAGCCGGAAAGGGAAGAAGTTTCCTACGGCAGCTGTACTTCACATGACCATTCTGGTAATATTGTTGAGGACAGAAAGGAATTGCATGTGAGCAGAACCAGACCAGAAGATGAGGAGGCAGTGCGAATGGAGATGGCTGGGGAGCTCTCTGTATCAGACACAAGCAGGCTAACATCAGGGAATACGGCAGATGTCCATAGAAAATTGGAGGGAAAAGAAGTCAGGTCGAGAGTCCGTAAGGCATCTGATAAAAGTAAGAAATCGAGTAGGCAGGGTAATTCGGTCCGCGGTACTGAGAGTGAGGGGCGAAGAACAGCATTAGGAGGCAAAGAAGGTGCGAGAGAGAATGCCGAAGCACCACTAGCCAGGCGTACAAGTGAGGTGGCAGAGCTCCCAGAGGTTTCACTTGACGGAGTATGTTCAAAGCACATCGATGATGATGATAATGGACGTGATATGGCAAATGCATATCAGAATAGTAATGCCAAAACTGGTGGACGTTGTTGTCAACGGCCATCACAAAATGCAAGAGTGTTGAAGCACCATGCGGCACTGTTTGCACAAGTACATAAGCAACAAGGTACTACAGTCAAGATCCAGCCCTCGTCCCCTATTTCTTCTTTACTTCTAAAAGGTTCTAATAGCTGCAGTGCACCCTAAGTTAATCTCCCTCAGAACCACCACCCCACCTCGATCCTTGTTGCCTGTCGTGGACCCTCTGACGCCCCTTGGCATGTGCCTGACCATGGAATTCGGTTAACCCTTTTCTTCGTGACCCCATTACAGTCCTTAGTCCCCAATATAATTACCTTCACCTGATCCATGTCTATCCCCCTCAAACCCCTGGCTGCAGAGATAGCCCTCTGCATGTGCTTTGAGCCTGATGCACCTGAATGACGTCTTAAACCATCATTTGGTCGCAGCTTCAGACCCTTAATACCCTTCACTTGGCAGTGCTACATGTTTGGTGTGTCAATCAGTCATGCCTGTTTTTGTTTCACTCTGCATCTACTGCAGCTCTGACATCCCTGTGGTCTGGATGGCCCTCAATGCTGCTGTTACCCCTGTGACCACAGCCCTCTGGCCTCTTCCTTCCATCATGTCTTTTCATCTCTTCCCCCCTTGACTTTCTTTTTTTATCTTTTTCTTTTAAAGGACAATGGCCTTGAAATATCATCATTGAACTGACCGGCCCCAGGTTGCAATAACTCAGCTCAAATCTGCGTCAGCCGTGGGCTGAGGGTCGTCACTCTTGGTCAAAGCACTGAAATGGGGGTCAAAAGTCGTGCCCACATCGTGGAAATGCCTGAATGAAAGTCTGGAGAGCCGGTTAACCGACCCCCCATTTTTCACCTCAATTTATAAGAAAACCATAAGCCCTACGCGAGACAGTTGACCTTGGAAAAGTCAACAGTCCACCCTAGCTCGGGAATTCAGGCCCAGAAGTCAAAGTCAACCCGTTTCCAGCTGCGGCCGCAGATTGGATGCACATCTTGGTTGTCTGCAGGTATCCAGAAGAATCTAATCCAAGTGGGACACGTTGGAAATGTGAAACGACCGATCTGGGCCGTCATACCCAGGAGACCAGAGGCTGGTCAACGAGAGTCAACACCATATGTTGACCCAGCCCCTGCTGGAGAGCATTCAGTCTTGTGCATGCTGCTTGGCGCTGGCTTGATGCTGGTGCGACGGCGCGAGACTGCCAGACGCCATTCTCTGTTGGCGGCGCCAGCCTCTAGGGCGATTATGCTGACGTGGCCATTGCCACACTGATTCCGACATTGGAGTGTGGGTGAGGAGGAGGACCAGGGCAGTGAGAATGATTCGAATGCTGAGGAAAAGCTTACTTACCTGGTTGTGACCGTGTCGACACTGTGTTTTGCTGATTTTCTCCACTGCTGACGTGGCTGGAGGATGGGCGCCCTGTCGTAACCTGCTTGTTATCGGAGATCGTCAGGGAGGAACTGATCATTGACATGGCGAGTTGGGAGGTAACGCCCGAAGAGGAAGTGGTTCAGCAAGGGTTCTCCGCTTCGACGATGTTGGTGGAAACTCTCTCTCACACTCTGTCCCTCTCTCCTCATCTTCTTCTCTGTGTACAGGACATTGGGTTACTACATGTATGACGATCATGGTTTCACTAACGATTTTTGGAGACATTGATTCTGCGCTATGACAAACTTGTATCTTGACATTGACGAGCTTCTCATGTGACTGTGTTCATTGCAAGGTATTTCACAATGATTTTATTCTGGTCATCTTATCGTGTCTGGATTCGACCTTGGGTCTGTATTTCAACAGTCCATGGATGTACTAACTGCGCTAGGCCCGTTGGTTGCTCTTTGACAATTTGAATGTCTCAAAACTCGCAACATTTTCTCTGGTTTTACCACTCCATTGTTGTCCCTCTTTGTCAATCAGTCACGGTGAGGAAATGTCATCCCAAGATTCAATGCTCAGGTTGGCAGAGAGCATCCCGATCTGAGCTCAAGTTTTTCTTTTGCTTTTCGTTTCATGGAGATCCTTTGACTTGAAAACGAAGTGATCTGTGTATGGCACTGAATGCCAAATAATTGAGTTGCACTTGTTGACGTGGACTCGATTGCAGGAAAATGTTATGCACAGATGGGACAGTTAGACCAAGCACAGTGCCTGTTGATTCGGGCTCTCACTTTCTTGCATGACGACTCGTGGACAAACACGGGCGATTGCCGTGAAAGGACAGGCCATCGTGGTTGTGGGGCTGAGGACTCTGTTGTGGAATACGCATTAAGATTGGGATCATCAACTACCACCGCCTCCTGTGGCAAGCGTTTCTGGAACTTTCCTGTTCAGAAGGGTTCTATCCTACTGGAACTAGGTGCTGTGTTGCTTAAAAAGTCCGCTCTTTTGGGGGATTTGTCAGTCAGAAACACCGGCAATAGGTAAGAGACCCTTTCTTTCCATCCAAACATGTTTCTGTTATCTCTCATTTGATTTTTTTGATCTGGCTGATCATCCATTTGAGCAGCTTATTCGGTGATTTGTGTGGAGGATGGCACCATCTGTCTTGGTGCCATCTCTCATAAAAGAGTTCCATGCATTTCACAAAGCTATTGTTTGGGATGGGTGAGAGTGTTTGCAGTGGGTGAGAGTGGGCGAGAGTGGGTGAGAGAAGGTTAGAGCAAGTGAGAGTGAGTGAGAACTGGTTGGTTAGAAGGTGGGAGGGTGGCAAGTGAGAGTGGGTGAGAGCTGGTTGGCAGAAGGTGGGAGGGAGGCAGTGTGTAGGAGGTTGGGTGGAAAGTGGATTGGAGAAACGGGAGACAACGGAGAGAGAGAGAGAGAGAGAGAGAGAGAGAGAGGTTCAGTTAGAATCGGGGTGGATGCAAGAGTTTGATGTATCTTTTATCATCAGAGAAGAGGGCCAAAGGAAGAATCCTCTTCTTGCAAGGTTGGAAAGAGTGGATGAGTGACTGCTTGAACGGACAACATGCTGAAGAGAGATCTCGTCAAAGCACTGGCTAAAAGAGGGGAAGTCAGGACACCCGATAGGAACCACCTACAGTGGCGGTGTTGGCACAATTCTGCATGAAAACCACGTCTACCATTCAGGCACTCGGACCGGTATCCAGACGATCCGTGGTCCATGGTCCAGAATCCGGACATCTGGATGTGTCTGGATTAAATTCCAGAAATATTATATTTTCCAGAGCTTTGATTTAAAAAAGAAAAGGTTTTGGGAAAAGAAAATGCTGTGCAGCAATGCAATGCAAACAATTTTTGGCTGAGGGTTATTTGGAAATCTGAGAAAAACAAAAAATAAAAAACGATTGCACCCGCATGAGGAAGATCTGAGAGGAGATCCGCTTGCGCAGAGCAAAACTGCGTCATGTGCACGGAAGGAGTACCTGAAACACTGCTTCACTGTCTTCTGCTCTGCCCGGAAGCGGAGTATATTTGGTCTATAGCTCGAACCCTGTGGGATCGCGTCATGGAACTTTCATTTCCAAGAAGTAAAAGACTCCTCCTTACGGGAACTGAAGTCCCAACAAGTTGGAACTCAAACCATAAGTGCATCTACCAGTTACTGAGACAATAGTACAATACACATTATGGACAATATGGAAAAGAAGATGCCAACAAGTGATAGGCAAAAGCCTGTCAACTAGAATGGAAGCTAGAGCAACACTATATAATCTACTACAGACGGACATTATAGCTCAATGGCAGCGAGCCAAGAAACAGGCAGCGGCTAACCCTGCAAGGGCGAAGGACATTCTCAACAAATTCCACAACAGAGTATTGGCTGAAGGTAAAATAGCCACAACGGAGGGGCACAAGCTGATCTTCTGTTGGTTTGGCAATAAGAAGAAAAGGAAGATTTCAGGTAAGGATACTACAAATTAATGAGTCTGCAAAGGAAGCAGACCGCTAGAGGAATACAGGTAGGTCTAAAGGTTTTGGGAAGTAGGGTTTAGGGTTTAAGGAAAAAAAGGAAAGGCCTAGTTAGTGCTTCCACCAATTAAATGAAATTGGTAGTGGATCTACGGTTTTAGGGGGGTAGTAACATGAGATATTGGTGCAATACAGAGAAGGTTTAGGGTTTTAAGGTTGTAGTCATCTAGGGTTTAGAGTCTCAACATGGAACAGAAAAGGCCCAGTTAGCAGTTCTAGCACTCGGAGCAAAGCCGGCAACCAAGCAGCTGAGAGGAACAAGCTAGCCAATACAAACGGGATACAGTTTACAAGCAGGAACGAAGGAGATTAGACTGGGCCTAAATTAGGTCCATCAGGCTAACTTAGGCAGGGGTGAGGGGTGGTACATCCTTCCTTTAGGAAGTAATCAATGCCGTCCTTCGGGCCTTCACACCATAAGGGGGAGGAGCGTGTGTGTGTTATCATTGTAATTCTGCCTGACTTGCCGGTGGAA